ATTAGTGGGAAATTAAAACTAACTACAAATATAATGTTATAAAATTGGCCACAAACCGACTTCAAGCGTCGAATTTAACAACTGGAACCAGACCATGCGGTACCAGACTCATCTATGTTATGTATAAACAGGATAGGTAACACTCAACTAAAGAGGTCACTAGATCAAGGTACTAGAAAATACCAAAACTATTCTTTAAACAACTTGGGAAGCTGAACAAGTTTTCATTCGTTCGGAACGTATCAAATTTTCAACGAATATTTGAATAAAAATTATACAGATACAAGATATTCTTACAACAAAAACTATGATTTGGCACCAAACACAAACTAGTAATCATACATTTTCAAGCTAAAAAGTAAAATAGTACCTTAAGCAGTAATATATTATTATTTCGGTCAGTCACTACAAGTTGATAAACAGTAACAGCATTTCACCTCATAAGTGAGAATATCGAAATTGATTGATGCGATCGATGCATGATACCATACAAACTATGTGATTTGATAAGTAATACTGAAAAAGTGGGAACGTCAGAAGTCAAAATTTGAAGACGAACTTTTTCGAATTACACAATGGAAAACATATAAAACATATAAATTTGCAATTTATGCAGCAAAAATTTGACTTGAAGACGAACTTTTTCGAATTACACAATGGAAAACATATAACATATAAAACATATAAATTTGCAATTTATGCAGCAAAAATATGATATATGTCAAAATTCACATACTACAATGAAATAATAATAGCTGATCTCTTGTGAGAATTAAACAAATAGAAGTTCCTCACCGTGTGTTTTAAATAATGTCAAGAAACATGATTTAAAAAAGGTAAATTCATCACCATAAAAAATCAGTTTGCCATTTCAATAAAAATTTGAGGAAATATTTCAAATTTCAAGTGGAAAAAAATAAAATATTGCAATCCTGAGATGAAACTGTGGATAGGAAAAGCTATTGACGTATGATAAGCAAGGCTGCTTAAATGTTTAGGTGTAATAGATAGTACAAGAGTAAATACGTACTTATACATAGAATAAGTCTCATTTTAAATTAATTATGAATCAATCATGCATATGTTTGAACGTATGGGATACACGAAATCAGAAATTTATTTCGGTGATTTAGCTGGTGAAGTTGGTGGTATCCATCTATAGTTTGCATCATATACGTATCCCGAGTTCTGTACAAATTCATCTGCTTCTTTGAAACCTCTCCTGCAATAAAATATACACAAAAAACTTTGATAAATAAGCGAGGTTATATACACAAAATACAATAACGCTAACGCTTTATGGACTGATACTAAACTACTACTGACCCAACACAAACACAGCTTTAAAATTAAGAATTTCAAACGGATATTATATTTGCAACTTTAAGAATAACAAAAATGAAGTCTGATGAACAAATTTTATGTTGTCAGTGTTTGGTTCATAAATACAGACTACAGTATGCGTTAGTACTCAACACTTGGCATTGACTTTAAAAAAAATTAGAGAGTGAAACACAAATTCGCAAAAAAGTCGTGTCCATAAACTCAAATAAATAGCTGAATGCCCCTTACAAAATACGGTACTAGTATTGTCAATACCCCATATATCGATGCTTGTAATTTTGCAATGTTATTGTTGCCATTGTATTTCAAACAGTATGTGTACCAATATGGAGGTTACTGATTTTGTTCGCCTATTTTACATCAAGTTGTGTAAAGGGACTGAAACTTATGGGCAGGGGGGGATATTCACTTGGCTAACACAGACAGTTCCCGAACACGTAATAGAACTAAAATAAAATTGTGGCCTAACCCTAACCTGGTACACATACTACGGGAGTAACCATTATTCGAATACACATTATAGAAATTACCGAAAGAAACACTCTGAACTATTACATTACCTGTTAGTGATTTATATATGAAGAAGGACTACAGTGAATATTATGTTTGTCTTATAAATTATTTCATACTTACACTCCATATTTATATTTGATAGGTTTCAATCTCCCATCATCAATCTCATGGAGTAATGGAGTAAAGATTCTCCATGCTTCAGATAATTCATCACTGAAAGTGTAAAATGGTATAAATATATATAAAAATTAAGTGACTGAGCATATTTAATAAAAATTTCAATGCTATACATCAAACCAGGGGTCATCAAACTACGACCCGCGGTCATTTTATCCGGCTCGCAATCCGGCTCTTTTATCCGGCTTCCCAAGAAAAATATTCTCGAGCACCGTCTTCCTTGTTTATTTCGTAACATTGGCCAATCAGCAAGATGCAAAAAAGTGACGTAATAATGGGCCTTTTCGCATTTTGAATGCTATTCGTTAGTTTCTGGTTGTGTTTGGGAAATTGAAGTAGGAATCAAATAAGTCAATCATCATTTGCCTCTTTAGGAGTTGTAGTTTTAATAGTAGTAATGAAAAATTTGTCTAAGAAATAGCAGGGACAAAATAGGTTAAATTCTCTACCGGGAGGCAACTTTTCCTGTGAAAGATGCACTCGTGGCGCGTGCAATTCAACGAAACCATTTACGTCTTTGTGCTAAAATGAACGTCGAATGTGCATTTCGCGCTAACAGTACCGTACTGTAATCGCTCGCGTACTGCTCCAATTTCACCAGTCACACTAATTTTTGTATTGCTTTAATGCGGATATTCATGTAGGTAAGTTACAAAAAAAATAAAGTTCATCCGATTTGAATAAAAACTGTGCCAGTGGATAGATCTGAGTGAAAATAAGAAAACAATAAAAAATATATACAATAATAAATAAAAAACAATTTTATTCTGGCAACGGTCTTGACACCGCCGAAATGTGTCGCAAATAAACGCTGGAGTTGTGCATGTTAGTTTGACAGTGGTTCATTGTGGGTAATAATTAACGATGTTCTAATTGTACAAACTTCATAAAAATTGGTCCACATAAATTTTATTGGTGTCCATAGACAATATCTTTAATTTGCACTACGTATAACTTGAGCGTAATTTTAAAAGCTTCGAATGTTGGGAATGAATACTAATGAATAAAAATCAAATACCAGATAATAGTTGTTTATTTTATTTAAATTATGTCGAAATTTCATGGAATTCCATGCTACAGCAGGCAGTCCATAGTCGTGCAATGTTTTGATAACAGCTAAATTCAGGATTGTCGTCTATATATAGAAATCTTGTATATTTGTTTTCCTAGGATGTTCTCGATCTATATTCTGCGATATATATAGAATTTAATATTCAAGTCTACAGAAATGTAGAATATATATTGTTGAATTAATTGAAAGGATTTCCCAATTTTTGTGAATTTATTTGTTACATTGACAAAAATATTTGTCCGGCCCGTTTCAACACAGTTTGAGTCATACCCGGCCCGCGGTCAAAAAAGTTTGGTGACCCCTGCATTAAACGATGAACAACAGAGCAATTAGGAGAATGCGATGAAGTGTTATTATTATTATTAAAAAGTGTAAAAAAGCTGTGATTTGATGAAAGAAATTTTAGCTACATCAGAGATCAGCAGAAAACATCAAAATATTCATTACATACCTGCGAACAAAATTCATTTGTGATCCAATGAAAACATCCAAAATTAATCTCTCATAGGCATCAGGCATTTTTACTCCCTTCAAACATAAAACAAAACAAAAATTTATTTTTTATCTAAACTGTATCCAAAAAAGAAACAAGCATCTGATTTTAAATGAAATACCTTGTTATAGCAGGTTATGAAGTAAAATCAAGAAGATACCACAAATTTAAAATAACACAAATCATGATTACACTACTCTCAAAAATTCAAACAGTTTCGATCAACGAACTTATAGAAAACAGAACAATGGCCCAGTTCTATACAGATACAGACATTTTTGATCTCGAGCTACATTTCCTTTGAAAAAACACATATTGATTACATTTCTAATCAGTAAAACAATGACGTTAATTCAGTAAAATTCAAGATACATTAACCCTAACTTGTTTTATTATTAACAATACTTCACTTTCAGTTCGCCACTATCAAGATATGGCGCTCCAGAAGTGTGTGTACCAATATGGAGGTAACTAATTTTGTTCGCGTATTTTATATCAAGTTGTGTAAAGGGACTGAAGCCTATTCAACTAACACAAACAGACCCCGAACTCTAATAGAACTAAAATATAGAAAATCAGAATAACATTATGGCCTAACCCTAACCTGGTACACACACTACGGGAGTACCCAAGATGTTACTAGTTAAGATTAAGTTCTTAAGATGATTCAGATACATAAAGTTCATTCCGAATCTCAAAATTAAGGACTACCTTATATCTATTACTGTACGTCAAATCCAATTCAGTGCCAACAGGTTCCACCTTCATTCCAGGTGTTTTTGTCATCATTTTAATATAAACAGACTCGTTTGGTTGCACCCGAACAACTAGTTCATTGCGTTTCAATTGACCGTCATCAAATATATCACCAGGTACAGGTCGAAATTGAATACGAACTTCAGCTTTTCGTTCATTCATTGCTGTGAGCAAATATAAAGTGTTACGAATTAACTAGAGAGTTTTTTGATGCATGAACCAAGTTATAAGAATTGCTGATAAATAAGTGAGGCTATATACACAAAATACAATTGAAAACAACGTTTCTTTGACTAACTACTACTGACCCAACACAAACATAACTTTAAAATTCAGAATTTTGAGAAACGCAGATTAGAACTTCGAGAAAGACGCTGAAGAGATATACTCATTGAATGGTTTGTTCAATATGAAGGTTGTATTCCTTATTTACTTCGATTGTTTCTCTCCAACATCCACTCCCATTAATTTAGTGTTGGACGACTAGTTGACTTTTACTAATGCTGAACCGGCTCAATTTTTGTTAATGAAACATTTCAGGGAAATCTATGATTTATAATAAATTTGGTTACTTCAATATTCCCAGTCATACTAACCTTTTCCACATTTCATAATAAATGGAACACCGTCCCATCTTTCATTGCATATATTAAAACGAGACACTGCAAATGTTGGGGTGATGGAGTTGTTGGGTACTGTGTCATCATCAAGATAACCCAACTTGGCATCACCTTTACCATTGGGGTCACCTTCATACTGCCCCAACACGATATCCTTTTTTTCCAAAGGTTTGATACACCTCAGCACCTTAACCTGTAAGAATTAAAAATGTTTATCACTATTTAAAATAGAATGAATCCAGATTATTCATCTAAAATTAAACGCTCTCGCATTCTTTATCCATTTTCAGACGTATGATATAACTGATACATTGCAAACTATCGCTTCCTATTACTTGCCTAAACGCTTTGGAATCATTTAAATATATGAACAATGTTATATGTTTATATGAGGTACGTTATGTACAAATAGTCCCTACTAGGAAAAATGCTCTACAAAACTGCACACAGAAATTGCCTTGATTTATTTGAAGGATGATATGCAATCAGCTCTGATGAAAACTTTTCATATAGACACTTCACATAGATACTTCTCATAAAAGATACTCAAAACGGGCAGTGTTGAATGTCTCATTGAACCTGCGCTAAAGAGTTGCCCTTGGTTTGTCATATAACATGAACGAGATGTCACATATTTACTCTTTTCTAATATGTTTCATCCAATACATGCAAACCTCTAATGATTCATTTGGAATATAATAAAATAAAATTTGAGATGTCAAATTTTCGCGTATACGATACCTGCACTATATAACATAATTTCGAATATTGCGTATGATTCATAGTTCGAACACATAGAATTTGTGAGTTAAAACTTTTGAGCCACTCAGAAGAAACCAAGCACAACACTGTAAACAACGGCATTAATAATTGATAGCAAAGCTGTATAATTTAGTCTACATGTGCCTAGAAGATGATGACTACTCTCAGTTGGGAATATCTGGGAAGCACTACTAACAGATGAAAATGTAAAAACAATATTGTATCGTTAATAAAGTATAAATCCAACCTTTTCATTCCTGAGATCATCTGCATTTTTTGAAGCAGGTTTTTCCATGGCAACAAGACAAAGAACTTGAAGCAAGTGGTTTTGCATAACATCCCTGCAAAGTAAAATTCTCATAAAAATACAGCAAAACCATTAAATACACCAAATTTATTTTGTCAACAGGAATATTCTGTGATTGCAATGTGCAGTACACAGGGATGGCCAAAACCGTATAGTTCACTATTTCGAATACATTCGAAATTATTTTTTTCGAATATGAAATTTCGAATACTTCGAAAATAAAATCCATTAATTGAAGCTTAGCTAAATGTATGTAGGAATTTCCATACAATAAGCAATGGAATAACTGCTATCTACAAGTTACAACCTAGCTATATTACCAGGCATTTCATATTTGCAGATTATTACAGTATATATTTTATATACCATGGGTCATGTTAACAGAATTAAATTAATACGGCAATAGTGGTATCGATGATGAATTTGAATATTTGCGCAACACAAAATCATCCTAGTAAAACGCCCATACTTTTAAATACCAACCATTATCCAAATTACTTGCCAAAAAGGGGGATAAAGTATGAGTTATTTTTCCGACTTGTGACAATTTTTTCGTGAGTACAAAAATACGAATCAAAAATTAATTATATTTGGGAACTTTACCACACATTTTAAGTCCGAAGATCGCCGTTGTATGTTTGAGTAATATTACTTTTATTATTTTATAAATATTAAAATAGGAATCAAAAACTATTTATAAGCGGGTAGTTTACCACACATTCTAAGTCCACAGATCGCCGTTGTATTTTGTAAATACGAAAATAGGAATCAAAAATTAATATTAATCACGAGTTTGCTACACAATTTATGTCCACAGATTGCCTTGATATTGTGCCGAATATAATTAGTTTTTGATTCTCATGTTCGTACTCACGAAAAATTGACAAAAGTCGGAAAAAGAATTTATATTTTATCCCGCTCTTGGGAACTAATTTGGATAATGGTTGCCATTGGTTTGTATTTAAAAGTATGGACTTTTTACTAGGATGATTTTGGATGCCCAAAATATTCGAATCCATGACCGATACCACTATTTAAAATGCCTTACCGTGTTAATCTAATTCTAGTATCATAACTCAAATGTTGGTAAATCGGGCAGTTGGCCACACATTTTAAGGTCACAGATCGCCGTTGCATTTTAGAATTATAATAGTTTAATTATTTTGTAAATACGAATCCGAAAATATAATTGGGCAGTTTACCACGTATTTCATGTCCACAAATACCCGTGGTATTTGGTATTAATACTTTCATTATTTTATCAATATAAAAATAGGAATCAATATTTAACCCTTTCCGTGCGGTGGGCACGTATACGTACCCACGACAAAACTCGCTAGATTGCGGCGGGTACGTTGATGTACTCCACTGTTTTATTTAGCAATCGGTCGCAAACTGTTGGTCTAGTTTTTCCGGGTTTTAGTTTATTGATAAGGAGTCTTCTTCGAGATTAACATAAGCGACGATAAATCTCGCTTTCGTTTACCATGGGAATTTTATTTGCGGCGGAACGAGGGAGTGTTTTTGAAATTTATGCAAATTTCGGTGTTTTTGGGTGGTAATAGAAGACATATTATCCCTTCCATCTACCAAAGTATTTTGAGTTAGATAACGAAATTGCTACAGGAATATTATGCTATTGTTTGCCAACCAAGAAGCGGTAACAGTAAAGGATTTAGCGAATATTTCTATTTTTTATCACGGTTTGAAGTTTCAACACCCAAGAAAAAAAAATGCCTTTTTTCTATCCGGTTTGTGACTCAGACCACCCCTTTTAAAAAAAAAATTGTTTTTAATCGACAATTGCAAGCTCTTTAAATAAGCTTTCCAACGAGCCGTCAGTGGGCAGCAGAGGATCATTAGTTTTTCGTTAGTCGATCGATTAGTTGTGGGGGTACAAATGCATAAAATCGGCGTAGCAAATACGATTATTTAATAAAAAATAAAATTCGCATGGAAAGGGTTAATAAAATCGGTCAGTTTACCACACATGTTATGTCCACAGATTGTCGATACAACCATGAGTTACGTTGAACAGAATTAAATTAATACGGCATGACATTTTGAATGCTGGTACCAGTCATAGATTGGATTATTTTGCGCAACAAAAAATCATCCTGGTAAATGATCGATACTTTTAACTATCGTTATCAGAATTATTTGCCAGAAATTATTTTCTAATAAATCGACTTGTTTTTCCAACTTGTGACAATTTATTGGATATCGTAACAATGACTGCTATAAATACCGTATTTCCCGGCTAATAAGTCCACATGGCAAATAGGACGATGTCTATTTTTAGCACTCCAAAAAGGGCTTTTTCCATATAGGCCTCCAATAGGACGGGTAGAAAAATTGTCTCCCTGTTGTTCAGTTATACTGATATGCGCTAATAATTTTAAATGTTTAGAACCAGATCATGTTAGTTTGGTAGAATCATACTCACAGAATTAACTATTTTTAAAATTGAGCGGTAAATTTAAGTTGTAAAGCGGCAATCATTTTGGACAACCTATTAACCAGAATGTTGAAATAATTTTGGAATGTGATAAGTAATACACTGTACGTCCACGGGTTATTACACAGCTGTGTTTTCCTGTCGTGTTCTGCTGAATCGGCAAAATGAAAGGGTCACAAATCACTTTATCTCGGTGGCCTAGAAAAGCGAATTATTAGCCGGGAAATACAGTAATTGTCAATTTTTCAACGTAATGGAAATGAATTTGTAAATTAGAAGCCTTGTAGACGAATGTCGGCAATGTCCACCCATGCAAACGTGCAAATGCGTCGCAACACTATGCGACGTACGGTCGCACAGAATATAAACAATCAAAGTGCCGATTCTAATTCATCGTCATTACAATACGCGAGACAGCGTGAAAATCCGTTTGAAGATTCCCGTAAAACGAAACCCCACGTTTACGGCGAAAAGTGGCTACTATTCGGAATTATTCGAAAATCAGCCGAAAAGGTATTCGAATACTTTGATATTCGAATACATTCGAATATTCGATTCGTTTTGGACAACCCTGGCAGTACATTAATAAAACTATGTTATAAATTAGCACAGTAATTATCATGGCATGATATTTTAGAGGTTATTACCGACTGTGGATTGTATATTTTTCCCAGCAAAATAGTGAATTAATAATCTGAAAAAGTCCGCAGTACTAGAATATTCTTCCCCCACAACCACCCTCCCTTTTGCACCACCTGTCTGGGCCCCTGCAAGAAGTACAACTTATTTTTTATTATGAAATCCAATAGACCTGGTAGAGCAGATTTAACAAATTTAATTTAAATTTGAGAAACATTTGAAATTTCTATATTAAAACAACAAATTATGGCATACCTGATAATACCAAACTCATCAAAATATCCTCCTCTTCCAGCCGTACCAAATGGTTCTTTAAAAGTGAACAAGATGCTGGAAATATTGTCTCGATTCCAGATTGGACCAAAAATTCGATTTCCAAACCTAGTACAAAGAAATGTAGCCAAAATGAATATAAAGTACAATTTTCTTGTGTTTATAAAGTTATATGTGTACTATAGAAATCCTGAATGATTTCAGTCAATACCTGTATATAAGGATTAATTTTTCAGAGCTTCAGTGATAAAAACCCAATTGACAGAATCTGGCATGCAAATGACTAATAACCAATGAATGAATATAATCATGATTCATGAGTAACATTTATGTAATAGCACATGATAATATGTATACATCAGAGCACAATGCACATATTCAATGGGGAAAGACATAAAAAATGCCAAAGATTTTAATTGCAGGTACTGCCATTCCAAAATCTATGTATTAATAATAAATCTGTTAACCTAATTCTATATTTCACTTTTGGTACATAATTACTTTTCCACTGGTAAAAAGTTGAAAAATTATGAATCTAACAGAATTAAACAAATGATTGCATTGCAGGGCAAATTTAATCAAAAAATCAAAATAAAACTAAATACAAATAATATAATACAAAAAAACATGATCAAGATTTGCATTGATAGCATAGCAAGAAGAATAAACAGAAAACTTCTGTCATGGGTAATACATGTCATTATATAAGAAAACCTGAAATGAACCCATTGAAGAGTTCATTCAAGATAAATGGACACAATTTTGCTTTTCTTAGAATGCAAACTCCAAATCATAAAATGAATTTTTCCAAAAGAGAAGTTGCACAAGATTACATGCACTCACTCAGATTGGAAAGAGAATCATTTCTGAGCAAATTTGTCGGCAATCACTGCAATTCCAACAGCTGCTGGAAACTCTGGTATACTGATTTATGGTGCAGGTGGTATATTATGCCCAAACTTAAATAGCAAATATTGAACAAAGGTTGTTACCTTAGAACCAGTAGATTCTGAACCATCTCTTTCCCAAGATAATGATCAATTCTATACAATTGTGATTCTTTATAAAGTTGGGAAAGATGACATGAAAGTTCTGCTGAAGAATCAAAATCTCTTCCGAAAGGTTTTTCAACGATCACTCTGTTCCATCCACTGAAAATTGAATAGAAAAATATGATTTCCATATTTTACCAAGGTAGGTTGATGTAATCAAACCACAAATGGTTTCAAAATGGAAAAGAATTACATTATATCTTTGTAAAAGGTTCTACAATATGACAGTTTACAGCCGTTCCAATTTACAGTTCTAACTAATACCAGTTGTCAGTCTAATAGACTAAATTTGAAAAATTGTTTGTTGGACTTGGACTAAGTTTGACCTGAACGTGCAATATCTACATACAGTCACTTAGAAACACATAATTATCACTTGATATGAACAAACCAGTACACCCCAGTTTCTACCTAAATTTCTTTTTTTTCCTACTATTTCAAAATGTTATGGTGTGCCGAATTTTACTTCGCAAACGCTTTGCAACAAAGAACAGTTTTAAACCAAAACAGGATTTTTGAAAAGATCTTTATCAAATACAAATAATTTCAAATTTTGATCACTCTCGACTCATTAATTATAACTAGATATCATTAGTAATTAATTTTAGGAATAATCAGCACATATAATATCCACTTCAATACCCCGCAAGTAGACGTGAAGGCTGATGACAGTCACTATAAGTGGGCGCTCCAGAAGTGTGTGTACCAATATGGAGGTAATTAATTTTGTTCGCCTACGTTATATCAAGTTGTGTAAAGGACTGAAACCTATGGGCAGGGGGTATATCCACTTGGCTAACACAGACAGTCCCCAAACTCGTAATAGAACTAAAATAAGGAAAATCGGAATAAAATTATGCCCTAACCCTAACCTGGTACACACACCTCGGGAGTACCCAATAGTGAAACACCTACCCAGTACTCATGCAGACACTGTGGATATTCTTAGTGACATCTTTAAACACAGTTGGAGGTAGAGCAAGATAAAAAAGACGATTTGAAAAATTTCCACCAGGTAGACAAGACATCGAAGTTTGCAACTTCTCAAACGATTCAACTTCAGTGTATGATCCCTATAAAATAAATGTAATAAATCCTTTAAATTTACACCACCAAAAAAATAGACAAAAAAATACAATTTCACTAGATATGTGGAGTTCGTGTATTCAAAATTTTTTTTTTTACATTAGATTCTAATTTTGTGTCTGTATTAATTAAACAGCAATACTCTGTACCGTAGTACAAAAATAGAATATGATTTATGATATCAGTGCAGTTGCAGTTTATATTGATTTTTTTATTAATAAATCCTGGTTCTTGATTGATTGAGTTACAGGATCAATATTACCTGTACATACATAACATTGCCCCAAAATTTATCACATGTTTCCTTCTCTTCATCAGTAACCTAAAGAGACAAGAGTAATAGGATTTAATTAGATAATTTAAAACTGATGCTAAATATTGCTTACAATAGCTAAATGCATGAAAGCATTGCAATAGATTCATGATAAAACTATGTATTTGCCCGATATATAACTCTAAATAAAAAAAAAGTATCATGGTCTTCAAATCAATCTTATAGTCAAACTAATTGCTGTACCCTTTCCATTTGAAGAATATGATGTAACCATATGTTGTGGCTATGGGCAGATCCCTCTAAAACAATATAACACTGATGTCATTGAAATGGATCGGTTTCCCAATACCAGACTTTGACAAAGAGAAGAAGTAAATGCACAATCTTGTACTAATTTCAAAAATAGAAAATTTTCAAAAAGTTACCTTCATAAAAGGCATACATTTTGCCTTCAGGTCATTAGTGGTCAGTTTGGATCTTGCATATCCAACAATGTATATGGTTGGAGGAAGTAGATCATCCTTATACAACCACCTGAGTAAATTGAAAATAATTAGAAAATCACAAATGTGAGGGTGTAATGAATGAATTTTAGAGGCTTTTTTAAACCAGCCCTTGTTTTTTTTTCACTTTTGGATTTCGAATCACTTTTAATTTTTTCTATTATTTATTTTATGGCATGTCATACTAAATATGCCTTTACATAATTTCATATGCCAGAAAGCAAATAAAGGAATGTATGAATGTTTATTTTTCATATGTGATTTATATTCTATGATTGTTGACTGCAAAAGATTAGTTCATAAATTGCATAAAACAAGTTAATCTCACGTTGAGCATGCGTGTATGAGTTGTAAGATGTTCCGACAGCCCACGCCCATAGCACACCCACATCAGGACACAACTCGCTGATGACTCCCTATTTCATTCTGAGGTCATAATACCTTATGCGTGATACCGTATTATTGATAACATGCTGCGATTTCGCACTGTATCAATAGCCACAAAACGATAAAAACCAGAAGGAGTAAATAGCAATAGAACTTATGACAATGACTGCGAGCATGTGCAGGGCTACGCGGTCTTCACGAGTCAGTCACGATTTGTTCACATGCTAAAAGCATTGGTCTGAAACACGTGGTTACATGGGCAAAGATTTGGATAGTACCGACATAGCTCAGTGAAAAACCCAACGTTTTGTTACAATATCGAGTAGGGCTTCAGAATTAACTCTGACGTGATACTATTCATTTCAATATAATCAATGCTAAATCTGGTTCTATTACTGGCAAAGAATGATCCTTGAAAGGAAATTATAGTATTTTTATATCTAGCACGCAAGGACCGTTAAATCATTACTGAAAAACCCCGATTTTAAAATTTAATATATTTCACCAACACTGCAATGCAGGTGTCGATATTAATTTATGTCGTGCAATGAATGTGTCATTGGAACGAAGCGTCTTGTGGCGAGGATAACGATCATAGAAAATGACACAACTTCCGTCACAAAATAATAATCATGTTCAGAAAATGACGCGCAACTGTTATTTTCATTTTTATCTTAATGCATCAACATGTTCAACAGGTCGACTGCCATAATCAATTCAGGTCAGATGAGAATGCTAAAATTGCGTTTGTGGTCGCCATGACTGTGATTTATTTTGTTTTAGATAATAATAAACATAACTGCGATTATTCTCGCCATATCAATTAAGGGCCGATTGTAACTGGCCATATAGTTATATATATGATTTATCGACCATTACGGTCATTTACCGCGACGACAAAGGAAAAAAAAATTTGATTGGTTGGACTGATACGACGAATAGATATATAAAAGTGCATCGTCATCCATCGATCCGAGTCATTATTACCACTCAAAAAAGCAATATTACATACCACAAGGTCGGAAAGATCTTTTTCTTGGCCAAATCTCCCTGAAATAAAAAAAGAAATATGTAAACAACCAGCTTTAATGCGACAACATATTTTCGACCACATAAATAGTCGCCCGATCAAAATATGTTTAACGAAAATAACGCCGTCGTCGTGGCCATGTGATTTTAGCATCAAGACTCGAACAAGCTTGACATAGGTAAAAAAAATCGCGAACTTCTATCGGGATTCAATTTCAACAACATAAGAGCAATATTTTATTAAGACTGTCCCTGGGTCTCCTCGAATTACACGTCACACAAAAAGATTAATTTTAACAATTATATGGAAGCGATTATTATAGCTATCTCATGCGTGGGGCGTATACTTTCGGGAAATTTGATATTTGTTCAAATCGTCGTACCAAACATTAGCATGCCATATATATCTTAGACTAAGTGTATGAGAAATGACTGGCAAAAAACGTGTGTAAGCCTTACACCGCTATTATGTATAACTTCTACATACTGGCTTTACACGATATAACGGAAATGGTATTTCACCATTCGCCAACTTTCCCCTTTTCGCCATTATTTCGGTTATTTTCTAAAGCGGCTGCAGGTCTTGTCGGACCTTAGAATAGAACTCCCATTCAACAATATTTTAATAAGTTGAATACAAATTGAAAATGAATTTCGAAACAATGACAAATTTTGAATATATTTTCGGCTCATAACGAATTACCTGATCATATATTGAATAGAGGATATCCAGGCAAGAATTAGGTGAGATAATATTTCCAGATACGGAGAACGACTCTGTTATAGCCCACGGTAATTTGTCATAAGCCGATTTCGCAAATACCCCAGGTTTAAATAACCTACCCAGCCTTGTGTGAAATTGAGTTATCCAAAAAATCCGTTATTATTTGTTTAGGTATATTCAGGCTTTGTTCGATCCATATCATTTCAAGTGATTAATAGTTATAGTAAGACTATTGCGAAATTCGCTGAACATTAAGTAGCTACCAATGCAATATATGAGGTAAAGAAAATGAAAGACTATTGCAACCGAGCGTCGCAGTAAGCTAGCTAGACCATTATTTCTGACATTCTCATTTCCTTTGTGTTCGATCACTATTGCATTGATTCATAACGGGAAATGATCGTGATGCCAATTTTAACACCATAAACTTTAGCATGATGATTCGCCAAAAACATACATTTTAACTTTGACTGCAACGTATACAATAACATCGATATCCAATATTTATGTGTCATGGTAAAATTTCGCCATGACGCAAATTCCAGTGAAATGTAATTATCTCGGGCGAACGCGCAGGAACAGTGCTTCAATGAACAAAATAAGTCGTTAGTTTTTGCGAAAATATATAAAAAAATCAACATCTGTACCGAAGCTCCAAGAACTACGAAGATATGCGCTTGGCCAAGCATGATCTCCATGGAGAGGGCTCTCTTAAACCGCTTCATCAGGTTGCCTTCACTATCAATCTCCGGTAGAACTCCTAACGTGTCTAGCTCTTCTGACATTGTGCTGGTTTCTGTTTAGTCACAGTTTAAATAGTCTGGGAAGAGATCAATGAAAAAGCGAAATCATGTAAAATATATAAACAACGCACGTATATGTATTGCGAGCATCTCGCGTCCCAAATTCCTGACTACTCGAGGGCGACACACAGCGATTTTTAGTATGAACATTTTTCTTACATTGGTGTACTGGATCATACGCAATCGGGTGGTGCTTACGACATATTAGTCGTTTTCAAAAAAGTAGAATTTAGCAAAACACTGCATTCTGCATAAATCTTCGAATAAAAACACTTGTTAAACGGGACTAGACCCCCTAGCTAGATCAAGGGTGAGCAATTACTATCCTGAAGGGCTAGATACAAAAACTAGAATTAATAGGTTAGTGGGCTGGATGCATAAAACTCAATATGAAAAACTATGAATAAATAACATTTTATTTACAAAAGCTAGTCCAACATTTATATAACAATATGAAGCACGACGTAACAACTAACAATCAAGGTCATCATGTGCGATTTTCATCAATATTTTCAACGAAAATTTATGTGTATAAAAGTATGGTCATCCGGCCTGCGAGCCGTAATTTGCCCACCCCTGCCCTAGATAGTATTTTACTTTAAAAATTTTGGGCACTATCAGAATGCGTTTTTGATAATCGAATCCCATGCGAGTGCAAAAGGATTACTGGGCTTCTCGCTGCCATAGGGCGGTTCCCGAAACCGCTGCTCGGCTAGGCTTCCTCCACGATCAAGTCAATGCATCTAAAAACAACTCAACTGGCTAACTAATCCCAAACTCGACATGAACTGGTAACCGGACCAGAGGCCGTGTTTTGCCATATGATTAAGCCTTCTAATCGGCTTTCCTCCCCCTCGGAATAAATATGTAATCCTATCCTATCAATTGGGGAAGGGCGATATACAGCCACGCTATGGAGTCAAATTTTTTCTGAAGAAAAGGCTTTTAATCAGAAGTTTTGATTTGATGGGGCCTACACTGCGTAACAATTTTTTGTTCCCAGCTTTTTACCTGGATTTCCTGCTAGCATTTAATATGTACAGTACAGACTTTTGGTTTTGTGAAAATGGGGGGATTTCAACAAAATCAGGTTTTTGTGGGTGATATAAAACTGCACAAATGGTGCTATATTTCAGTGTTTTGATATTTCAAAGATGTATTTCTGGAATTCTATGTTAGAAATCTTGAAAAAAATAACACAAGCACATGTTAAACGACTGTTTGGTAACCAGAAAAATGTTTTTTTTTGCCAGACACCACACCACTATTCCACAACTAAGTCCCCATATGTAGTCACCCATCCTTTGCTCATTATACTGTCATTGGTAAGAAACATTTAAAATCCAATTATGCCACGATAGGTGTGTGTCAAAAGGGCAATTTTCAAATGCAACATTGACATCAAAATTTGGTTGTGAAGTGACCAGTTGTAGGGTCCCAATTTATGTCGCATTTACCGCTGATAAATTCAGTTCTATGTAGACCTTTCATCTGAAAACAGTGAAATTCGCCAGATTTGTCGAGATCACTGTGCATTGAATATGTCATCAAGACAGACATTCTTTTTCAGAAAGGATTGATGTTGCTTCTGTCACATTCTATATATTCTTTTTTGAATGCTATTTGAGGTCCTAGGTATCTATCTCAAAATTAAAAAAAATTGCATTTTTTTCAGTTTTGGGTGTAACCAATTACAAGCCAGGAACAAAAATTATGTTACACAGTGTCATGTTTGATATACCACCATTTTGTTAAGTTGAATGATAAGAATAATATAAAAAAATATATATATACTAATCAATGCACATAGTTAGAATTATGAAATATGCATGAAATGGCTGCATCGGAAGCCTCTATTAAAGAACAAACCTCTGATAGTATCATGCCACATAAATTAAACATTGTGCAGTAAGCATTTTCATCACAAATTGACCCTCGAAATCGACAGCATGCGAAATTCTGATATTACACAAATTTGTTGGCTATATCAGTACCCAAAATATTCAGAAATACCTACCGTAACTAATAATGTTATAATAATGATACTATACGAGAACTCAGAACATATTCGTTTCAAACAATTCAATTGGCAAGAAATTGCTTAAAAAACAGTGGAGCATCCCTCTAAATAGTAATTTTAACCCATATCAAGGTAATAAACCCAAGATCGGAAGATTACATATGCCAAGGCGATAGGATTGATCCAACTTGCTTTAGAAGGGATGCTTTAATCAATGTTGTACAGTTCCAAACCATCTTTATTTTGCGATTGCAGGATTGTCCCTTGTTTTTTGGTTTATTTATTTCAGTAGGTAGGATGTAGGTGAGTTTTAAAAAATTGATTTGACGTTCTGAAACTTATCACTCTACTCAAGCTGTCATGGCCTTGCTTTGAGCAAACTTTCATATAAATCTTTAAAAATGGCAACTGTATCGTATGCTGTGCATGAAATTAAATTCCGATGCGTACAGCCATAAATTTGGTGACCTGATATTGCAAGAATATATTTGAAATATGGTTTAAATCTCAAATAATCCTGTAATCATAATAAAATTATTTACCGGAAAAATCTTAACATACTGACATAAGCAATGCACAGCACAAACCTGCAAATGGTGAAATGGCATAACTGCAGAATGGGGACTTTTTATATTTACAGTCTTGAATAAAAAATAATAATTACCAGGTTTCTAAATTTTCCAATCTACTGAATCTAATTTTCAAAAATTATCCTTACTGCAGCAGTACAGCAGTACTGACAGCAAATAGCAATACCGGTACTCTGTTAATTTATTACAAAATTATTCGGACATCGCCGAAGTCTGGAAGTTCTGATGTTAGACATTAATGTTAAAGTGTCGACGGGTCCAAATTCTGCTCTGTCTACGTACTGACGTATGTACAGATGTAACGGCGTCTGCAGCAGCTGCACAAAACAGTGCCAACTAGCCTACTGAACTAGGTTTTTTAAGCATTAGCTGTACCGGTTCAGAAGTTCAGAAATAATGTCGTACCATGATACAACAATACGGAATTAGAATAATCGGTCTATGTGACCGTTATTATTTGTGTTTTTTGTTTTATTTGTTGGCTAATGACTGGATGATGAATAATTTTCTATCTATCTGTTCATTGCTAAACTAGATCGGATTTCCTGAACAGTCCATTTCCCATTCTGCTAAGTCATTCTGAGTTTATCCAAATTTGCAGGACCGCCGCAAGACTATGACGTCTGCAAATGTGCAAACAATGAAAACGCGCAGTAGAGAGCAACCAGAGCAAATTTTGTTGTTGTCAAAGGTAATTGTCGAACTTTATTAGAAAAAGAAACTGCAATAAACTAAATAAATAAATAAACGACGTATTAAGAGTGGGGCCCGTGAATGGAGTGAGTACTAAAACTATTGATACTTCAAATTCTGATATATTTTCCAAGTATGGGAAATCGTTCGAAAGAATTGGCGTTTCAAAAGATTACAAATTGACTTTGAATATTGACAAAACTGTTAAAGAAGGATGACCATACGTCCTCCTTTTGGATAATTTGTCCTCCTTTTTTGTTAAAAAATTTAGGTCCTCCGAGGACGCTCTAAAACAGGGGTGGGCAAGTTTTCTAGTCGGTGGGCCAGATGTGGAAAAATAAAGTCCTCGGTGGGCCGGATTATTACAAAACTCTCTGTCAACTTTACGTTTCTTGGAATATTCCATGGTTAATAAAACTTAATATAAAATCTAATTTCTAAAATCTATTTATATTTAGAATATAAATATAACTGATACCAGTAGTGGGGAATGTTTACAACGCTCCCTGCTTTGACCTTATATTGTTTGTTTAACAAGTGTGCTAACGCAATTGTTTGTTCACTAAGGCAATTGTTTATTTCACCAGCTCGCACTGACAGTGCGGTGAGAGTAGAGCGAGAGTAGAGCATTACAGAGTGTGGTTACAGACAGCGGGCCGGTCAAAATCTCATCGCGGGCTGGACCCGGCCCGCGGGCCGTATGTTGCCCACCCCTGCTCTAAAAGGTCAAAGTCCTCTCCTTTTTCAAGGTATTGAATATTCAAAATTCTTTAATGACATAATCAACATTTTTTGATGGGTTAAGAAAAATTTAGTAAGTAGAAACTTGTAATTATCAATTCACATATATATGACAAGTGTCACGGACCATACTGTCCGTGTTGATATTGTGTGTGTATATATATTTTTATGTTTATAGACTGTTATGTTGACCCTTATTTACGGCTGTTTTGTCGGATTTGGACTCCGACCACTCACTGCATGAGAGGCAAAAACTGTCTTTCGATCACTACTTCTCCGACTGCCGCGCTGGCGGTCGGATGTGTTTTCAGTTCTCTAGTTATTTTTTTGTTTAATCTGTTTGAGTTATATAATATGTTTGGCTGGTATTTGCTTTGGAGTTGCCGTAAAATAAACAACCAATCCGGAACCTTTGAGTCTTCTGATTCATTCTACAACCGCGGTAGCAACATCTTGGTCCGTGACACAGGCAATGCAATGCGTTGAGATACCATATAGGTTGATAAATACTTTAATAAACCTTAGGTTGCTATGACAAACCTTGTGGTTTTAACTAAGTTATTGCGTGCGCGACACCTCGTTCTTAATCTAATAATAAATTGTAGCTCAGTTTTACGAATAGGTTGAATGTAGGCCCACAACAATGACTATTTTTACGCTACATATTGGTATCACCAACAAGCGCAAGGATTGTGGATTGTGACTTCCACCACAAATAAATAAAATGTAGTGTTTAGTAATCGTCATACACAGTGCTGTGCAAGTTTCAAGAAAGACGAGAATAGCTATATTTTAAATTGCGCGTGGTTAGATAGAGCAATTTAGGTTAGATCGATTCAGTATTACAGTTTATCGAAATGAATTCGGAAAGCAGATGAAAACAGTTCTTCATATGCATTTCGCCCAAGAGTTCTGTCCACATATATCTCATTCGCCGAATATTTTGTCCATACAATTCCGTTTATCATACATTTCATTCACTAGATATATATTTCGTTTCTCTTAAAAACAGTCTTCGTGATTATTCGCTCGTTGAAAAAACGACTTTCTAGGGAGACTTTTCTGTTGCGTATAATATTCAATCCATAGTAATTACCTTAATTGTGTCTAACGTAACTCGCGTGACGACTTTTAAATACACTGCTACTCTAAAAAAAACAAATGTAATATGTGGACATAAACACATGAGATAAACTGTCTAATTATATTTATTTTTGGTAGATATCTTCGCAATCTTGTTAATTCGTTATCGCCAGTAGAGAAATCTATAACACCGATCCGTTCAATCGCAATGCTACCACTCGGATTATTTTTAAGGTATAACCGTTATAATCTCAGGGCTTAAAATCTATTTTAGTACAATAAAAGTCGTTTGGATTAATTAATTTATCATCGTAAATTCAGTGTTCCCTCTAATCTAAAGTGTGCGCGTGTGCGCGCGCACACAGCTTTCAGAGGCTGCGCACACGCATAGATTTACTGCGCACAGACGTATTTCGATGTAATGTAACAATGTTCTCGGTTGGCAGGTTGAGAAAGTTTGTTGTTGGCCCACCCATTACCCGGTTGGAACGCCAAAATTTCTTCATTGGTTTTTGCACAAATATTAGTCATTTCCAAAAAAGTGCGCACACATACTACAAAAAATTAGAGGGAACATTGACATAATTAATTTTCCTTCACAATCCTCATCGCGTTTACAACTTTGTATAATGATAACACTGAAATTTTTGACAGCAATAAAAAGAAATGGATGAAAAGGTGAATCCAATGCACAATTAATTTATTTTTTATTCTAGTGCCAACCATAATAGCAAAACAATCGATCCTTTTAGCAAAATGCACGCGGTATTAGCGACATGTGGTACAACTTGGGCGCGTGGTACACGTGGGTTAAGTGTGACATGTTGGACACGTAGTACAAGTGTGACACGGAGTACATGTGGGACAAGTGTGACATCCATTTTAGTAGGAACATAGCCATTTTAGTAGGAACATAGCGGGCATAGCCATTTTAGTAGGGACATAGCCATTTTTGTAGGGACATAGCAGACATAGCCATTTTAGTAGTCTATTTTAGTCACTATTTCGTATGAATAAATCAGAAAAAAAATCTTGTTGATTGGTGAATTGGGCTATCTATATTCTATATGCTGACATTTGTGGATGACTTTTCGCAGGGCAGCGCCTTGTTTCGCCTAAGTTTGATACTGTAATGATCTGCTTAGGCCTTAGGTACTCTGCCTTTACCAACGTCATAGCTGCAAACAAGAATACAAAAACTTGGTACAAGACCAGTTGTCTAGGGCAGAGTTGTGCAAACTGCGGCCCGCGGGCCAAATGCGGCCCGCAAAGAATAATCGTGCGGCCCGCGGGGAAGTGCCAATTTTTAGTGATTTGCCCACGAAACGAGTTTTTACTTTAATTAATCTGGAACGTGCGAGCAATTTCAATCTCATTGCACCACAAAGCCTATACCAGTATCCGAGTGCCACTGCCATATCGGTGAAACTAGCTAGAAAGATCCTGTTGGAAAATACACAATGTTGTAAAAGCTTGTTTCTTTCTCATTGAATTCGTTCAAAGTCGGTGTGACAATAAAT